AATGTTTATAGCACTGTAACTCACAATCACCAACATATGGAACCAGCCCATCTGGATTACTAAGAAGGATGCATTTCCCACTACTGTGGGTGAGATATCTACGAAAAGTAGAAGCAGTTTGGGTGGAAAGCACATTTTGAATAAGATTTCTGCTACCCCCGCCACAACCAAAAACATACACTTCACATTCTTCATAGCAGAAACTTTGCATGTCGCTCACCTGGCCTGACACTGAAGACATTGAAGATACTGAAGCTATCTGGCCAGGTGAGATCAAGGAGGACAGTTGGAATTACTAATGAACATGTTTGTCCTCATTATGAGGAAACAGCACTTCCCAGGGTCTCTCCCTCAAGCTGGGGTTCCCTTTGTGTTTACCTGGTCACAATGCTTCTCTGCTGGGTCATGACCAAGGAATGCAGGTCTGAAGACAGGCCCATGCCCAGCAAAGGGTGAGACTTTACCCCCAGGATAAATGTATGTATCCAGCTTCTGACAAGGATACAGCATCAGATAAGATCTTCCTGATGCACACACAGGTACTGGAGCCATTCAACTGTGACAAGAGGGACAGGCTGACTATTGCCTATTAAATGGTCTTGGAAGCCCAAAGAACAGAGCTCCTAATTAGCCAAATTGCTCTGTGTTCCTCCAGTCTCTAAGGACTTCCTCACTCTAATGGAGAAAGAAGACAAAGAGAAGATTAAGGTCACAGATTGTTTCCAGTATATTCATCTACATTGTAGGAAATCTGTGAGGACTGTTCACGTCTTTCATTTCTGTCTGTCTGCAAGTCTTTAAAAGAACTCATTTACATTTTAAAAGGGATTTATGTGAGAAACATAGTAAAACATTTGTAAAAACACATGTCAGATAGTTCCAAGTATTGTACCACTGATCTCACACAGAGAAAACTGAGTCCAAGGAGAGGTGAAGTGACTTGTTCAGGGAGATAAACAATTGAGATGTGATCAATTTTTAAAGTTTGACATTTGTGTATATTACATGATTTTACTTTAATGCAATATAATTGAAAAAATAAACCCACTCTCTGTCAACACCAAGTAGGTTGTCATTATGCTGGGTTTTCAACAATTTTCTTTCTGCTCTAATCTCACCCCCTGTAGTTACCTTTTCATGCTGAGCAGGGACACATGAAATCACTGCTCTGCTTTCCTTCTCGTTTTGTTTTTATATACTTTCTTCCAGGGTCAGAGAATTTCACTACATGAAAAATTCAGTATATTTGTCTGACACCCCTAAGCTCAGTGTTTTCGAGGGCCCTTCAGTTTCTCTGTGACCTGGCTTTCCCTCTTTTCCCCGCCAAGCTATTCATCCCATTAAAAGAACTGGATTATTTCTATTTCTATGGTGAACACAAAGTGACAAATCACAATAGAGAGAGAGAGAAAGGTATATTTTGAGATATCTGCAACCGAAGCATTTAAAAATACTCAGAAAATAAAGCCAGTGTCAATGTGGCTCAGATGTCCATCTGGAGCATCACCGGTGGCTTCACATTTCTGGTTGCTAAGTCTGAAGATTGTCTGGAGATTATTAAATCAAGAATTTCATCATAAAATAAACAAAGTTTTACTTCTTTTACTTTATGTTGATATTAGTCCATGTCACCAACCAAAGCATGTTACCTGTTCTCCTACCCATTTGGTAGCCAAAGTCCCTGGAAAATACAATAACAATGTGGCCTTCTTACAGTTTCTCTCTATTTTATTTAATAAATTAGGAGGGTTTCAGGGAAATTCTTTAAATTCCACACCAAGTACCTAAACGTAATGTAACAATCTTTGATTAGGATGGAAAATATAGAAAATAGAAAGAGTGTTGGAGTTAGAGACATTTCCTCAATCATACACTGATTCTTACACCTGAGAATTTAGGCAACATCCCCTCTCTCTCAAGCCTAAGATTCCTCAGGAGCAAATTAACTGCATTAGTACATTTCTTCCAACCTCTTCAAATGATTATATATAAATTGTCTTGAGCCAGGCAAACAATAATTCTCCATCAATGATAGCTCCTATTATTACATAAAAATATATTTTTTTCAAATGCATATTCCTAGAATTCATATATCATTCAGTATTAGAAATTGTGTGACTTGCATCATTATACAAAACATGCTTTTATTACATAATCTGAACACCAGGCATCTCTCATAGGGCACTGCACTCATGGAGTTAGGTTATGTGATCCTGCAAAATTCACCTCTAGTATGTATCCATGTACACATCAATAGCATCATCTCTACTACATTCAACTTGAAGGGGTATATATTGAGGTTTTATTACATTGGTCAATAAACAATCAACTGTATTAATCTTTATCATTTGTGAGGTCCTTATGGGTAGACTATGGACAATTTCCAAAGACCCTGATACCCATGTCACCTATTTTATCAACTTCAATAAACACAGAGAATTGTTTATTTTATTAAAGGTTTTATTAGGTGATAACACATACAAAATCTGAAAGAAGTACATTTGGAGTGAGAGGAGCACTTTCTCAAGAAAAATTCAGAGCTACTGGATACCCTTGTTGTGTCTGCACATGGAATGACAGCAGTTTAATGTGATGCTCTAGTGAGACCCTATTGTTGGAAGAGAACCAAGGTTATTCTTTTTGACTTCCTTTCCAAGAGCAGCAGAGTCAAAACTGTGGAAATGTCCCCTACAGAAGAGAGGTACATATGCCATCTGCCTGTTCTTCTGTAGGATATTTTTGCTGACAGACTGGTGTCTTTGTGGTTGGTGGGCCATAGAGAGAGAGAGACAGCTCCACATTATTGGGGTACTTAGGAACTAATACACTGATGGAAGGAGAGGCCTGGTCCTCCCTTGTTCTGTCACCTGCTTGAGCACAGTGACAAGCCAGCTTCTGTGTTCTGAGATTTTCCATCAGAGTCCTTTCTGGCTAGGAATTAGGAGAGGCCTCTGGCCACCATCCTACAAGAACCTGAATCCTACCCACAGCTGCATGAAGTATCTTTGCAGCAGATCCTCAGCTGTGAAGCCACAAGATGACTGAAACCCCGGCTGGCACCTCAGCTGCAGTCTTCTAAGATGTTCTGACATAACAGTGGGGTGGAAAGTTTCCAAAAGTCTTTGTAAAGACCAATAGTTTCTAATATGCAATCCTGCATCAAATTAACAGAAAAAAATCAGAATTGGAGTTTTATCCATACTAGCAAAAAACATATATCGCAAAGGAATGGTGATTCCAAACCACAGGCCAGTAGTATAGAAAGAAAAAAACAGGAAATCTTGTCATTTGATACAACATGGATGAAACCATATGACATTCTCTTAAAAGAGGCGAGTCAGTCATAAATCTCCCTTAAATATGGTATCTAAAATAGTCCAACTCATGAAAACAGAGATTAAAAGGGTGTTTACCAGAGGATTGGTATGAGTAGATGTTGGTCCAAGGACACAAAATTTTAGTTGGGAGAAATAACTTCAAAGGATGCATTATATACCACTATGATTTAAATGAACAAAAATAAATTGTGTACTTCACATAAATTGGAAACCATATAAAAAATGGGGAGATATTTTCAAAACACATATCTTATGAGTCAAGTGTCCACAATGGACAAAGAAATCTTAGAGGTCAGAAGCAAATGCACACTGTACCATTGCAAAATGAGCAAGTAAGTGAGAAGTCATTTTTCCAAAGTATGCATAGTTGTGAACGTCTAGAGCGTTCGGGTCCCTGGGTAAGGGTCGCGAAATAACCAGGACACAGGGGATGAAGAGCCAAGGCAGCAATAGCAACTGCATGCTGAGGTTTATTTGCAAGTTCCTTTTATATTCTTCTTCTAACAAAGCAAGCAATTCTTCAATAACACTTTACCCACATTGTCCAAATATCATGCCTCAGCGGATACACAGAGCTAGATTCAAATTGTTCCTGTTTGTTTGATAAGTACCCTCCTAAAGTTCTTTGTAGACATTATCTAGTCCCCTGAGGATGCATTTGTTTCTTTAGAATGTACTGTTCCCCCAGATAAGTATGCAGGAAGCTTCTTCCTCTTGGCCAAACCATGCAGAACTTGTGCCTTGCGATAAGGGGAAGAGAACGTTTCCTCCTCCTAGCTGAGGTTTGCCTCAGCTGACCTAAATCACAGCCACAGCTCTTGCAAAATGTCAGGCCTGAGGGAGCTAAACTCTGCACACTTAAACCCCAACACATAGTGCCTGCCAATAGGCATCTGGAAGATGTTGAATTAATCATGGCTAAATGCAAATCTAAAGCACAGTGAGATTATTAACATTAATCATAGAGGACAGAGGATTTTGTAACAGCATATTTGTAAATGCATATAACCCAACTTTATCAATTTCACATACTCCTCAAGTATTGCCAAGGATATGAACATTTTGGTAGCTGTACACATTAGAATGTGAAATGTGCTCAGCTATACTTCAAACAACTAAACATAAAATGACCATACAACACAGAAGTTCCACTCTGAGATTATTACTACAATAATTAAAACAAGCATAGGCATTTACTTGCTTATTAACTAGGTCAGGGAAAAAGGTTTTCTTGGGGATTTTGTCATTATGCACAATCACTGAGCATACTTAAATGAAGATGGGTAAGGGTTAATGTATGCAGGTTCTTATTGATGAAATACCACAAATAGGATAACTGGAAAAACAGCTTGTGTGTATACATGCAGTGGAATAGTATTCAGCGAGAACAAGGACTGGGACTGGATAACATTACCAGTGAAAGAGTCAAAAGAACAGAGGAAAAGAAGAAATAAGGGAAGGAGGGAGAAAAGAAAGAGAGAAAGCAAAGAAGAAAGAAAAAGTAGGAAGGAAGGAAGGAAGGAAGGAAGGGAGGGAGGGAGGGAGGGAGGGAGGGAGGAAGGGGAAAGCAAAGATCACAAATGATGCACCATGTTTCAGAGACATTATGTCACCATGAAAGCAAAGGACAAACTCACTTTCAGGACTGCATTCCAGCTTTCATGTTGAAAACACAACCATTCTTACAAAGATGAGGCTACAAATCTAGGAGTTGGGCTCCGTTCCATGTTCCAGGTGAGCATGAATTTCAAGCTCAGTCTCTTTTCAGAAGTTAGCAAATTTCATAGAACTTCCCCTAAACAATGTTTTCAGGATTGAATAAAGTCATGCATGTAAAGGACAAACACACTCCGAGTATTGTCAGCACTTGGCTGTGATGGTTTTCATTCATTTTCTTCCAGGGAAAAGAGGGATACAACCAAATTGAGGTCAAGAAACTTAAAGCAACAATTTTTGAGAAATCTCCCTGAACACAGGATATAAGTGATGGCTGTCATGTTGGAATCTCAGCAAGGCCTGTTAGACAACACGACACACTTGAGACTTCGTGAACCATGGGTAGGGAAGAGTTAACACGGGAGCTTGCTGAAGAGACAAAATAAATGAATATCTGGAAAAGGAAAGTCACTAGAGCTTTGGGAATACAAGAAATTAAGCATGAAATTTAGGGTAGAAAAGAGTTAAGATATTATAATTCAGTGCATTGCTCCTCAGGGGACACAACATTTCCTGAATTCTGAGGTCAGTGATCCATCAAGGTCTAGAAGCTGCTCTAATGAGGAGTCTCCTCAAGGCCCCCTTCATATCCTTGTTCCTCAGGCTGTAGATGAAGGGGTTCAGCATGGGGGTGACCACAGTGTACATCACTGAGGCAATAGAGCTTGTCTGGGCAGAATGGGTCATAGCAGAGGTGAGGTAAACCCCAAGTCCTGTTCCACAGAACAAGGAGACCACGCAGAGGTGGGACCCACAGGTGGAAAAGGCTTTAGACTTCATCTTCATGGAGGACATCCTCAGTAAGGAGGAGATAATCTGAGAGTAAGAATAGAGGATCCCAGTGACAGGAAACACACCCAGCAGGGCAGTCACCAGGTACACAAACAAGTTATTGATAAAGGTGTCAGAGCTGGCCACCTTGAGAAGCTGAGCCAGTTCACAGAAGAAATGTTGGATTTCAGTGCCCATAGAGAAAGTCAGTCGATTCACCAGTAGAATATGAACCAGGGACACCAAGAACATGATGAGCCAAGACAGTAGCACCAGATGGACACAGAACCAGGGGTTCATGATGACTGTGTATTTCAGAGGATGGCAGATGGCCACAAAGCGGTCATAGGCCATTATTGTCAACAGAATATTATCCACTCCAACTAAAGTTGTAAAAAAATATGTCTGAGTGAGGCACTCGATGTAGGATATATCTTTGCTCTGTGTGTGAATGTTCACCAGCATCTTAGGGACTGTGGTGGAGATGAAGCAGATGTCAGCCAAGGACAGGTTGGAGAGGAAGAAGTACATGGGGGTGTGGAGGTGGGAGTCAGAGCTGACAGCCAGGATGATGAGCAGGTTCCCAAGCACTGTGACCAGGTACATGGACAGGAACAGTCCAAAGAGGACGGGCTGCAAGTCTGGATCCTCTGAGAGGCCCAGGAGGAGGAACTGTGTCAGAATTGTGTCGTTTTCTCCTTCCATGTAGCTGATAATCTGCTGAGAAAGGAGGTAAATGCATGTTCAATAAAGAATAAATTTGTACCTCGGGTATTTACCACCTTTTAATATCACCCTTCTATTTGATCTTGGCAATCACAGTGATTCCCTCCACGAAGTGGCAGCTCATTTCTCATTTAAATGCTCATTTCTCATTTAAATTTCTCATTTAAAAGCATCCACACTTCCTTTAATGCAGCATAACTTTCTTCTCTTTATCAGCAATGTCCTGTGTTAATACTTCCATTTGAATTTACGGACATCAACTAATGTTATATTTTATAGTGCCATTCCAACATAACCCCAGACATTCCATGTAGTTTCTCTGATGATCTCTAAATATACTGCTTTTTTGGAAAACCTCCACATTAGTGATTAGCATACATACCATCTTTTTATGATTTGACTGTTTATAACGAAACGACATTTCACTGTCAGTGCCTTAAATTTTTTTCCTTTAAAATGAGTTTATTGTTGTTACATTGTTAGTATGGTTTAAAATGCCTCTGTTCATGGTGGCAGTTTCAATACATGATAGCTATTATTATAATTATGATCATCCTTTTAATTATAATTACTCTGGATATGTAATTGTCCAAAGGTGGGCTACAGAGTTCTCATTTATTGGGTTCTTGAGATGGAATTCTAAGAATTGAATTTTAGTCCACCAACCTACAACCTTTGTGGTCCTGAAAAAGTCTAATTCTCTTAAAAGCAAATATTTTACCTCTTCAGTAGGAGAAATAAATACTAACTACATGGTAGGATTGAACATTTAAATTAATTAAAATGATTTAATTGTTCTCCTACAATGGACTCTCATAAGTGTGAAATTCTGTTCTTAAGACCTCAACAGGTCATCCTTGCATTTCTATCATGAATCAATATCACCTTTAACTGTGGCTGCCATCTGTATGCAATTCTGATTATTATCAATTCAACATTCCTCTTTGAACTATGTAGATTAGAGAAGGAAATAAAGGGTACCAGCATTAAAATCAAATACAAGGCAGGATAATGTCTCCCTGCTTGAATGGGTGATCATCAAAATAGATGATAGACATAATGGATTAAAATTTTCAAAAACTTAAAAATCCTGTAATGTTTATTGGAAAATTATGAGTTAAAAATTAATGATCACATTTTCTCTGACACAAAAATGTTAATGTTATGAATTCCCAAAGGTTTTTAATTAATTAAAGTCAGAGAAACATCACTGAAGATCAATTTAGTATGTGAGGGTGGGTAGAAGACTCTTCTCTGAAATAGTAACACTTACCTCAATTAGGAAGGATGGGTAATTGTTAATCAGTGGAGGTGAGGAAGGAAGAAGCCTTCTAGGCTAAGAGGTGAGAATGTGTAGTTGCCCTGTGGAGCGGTCAACTCAGCATAAGAGAGGCTTTGAGAGGCCTGGTGATGGTGAACTGGGGATGAGGCTCATTAAGGACAGAGTGTGAGACCAATTAAAGCTTCCTTTAGCTGATTTATTATCCTGTAGGCCCTGAAGTAGTCATGGTTTTGGCTCTTCATTTACCTTTCAGGGACTCATATGCTACACCAGCCACATTTTTAGTAGTGAGCAAATATAATTGTTGGAGATATAACAAAGATTGAAATAAAAATGTGTTCTCTAATATAAAGGAGAATACGTCATGCCTGTCACATGCCTGAAGATTCACAAACGGGAGTAGTGATATTAAATACAGTGCATTTATGTATATTTTAAAAGCATAACACATGATGAAAAGGATCAATGATTCTATGAATTAAAACTGTTCATTATAAGGAAGTTTATTAACATCCTCCATATAAAAATAGATAGATTAATAGTAATCCTAGATATGATCACAGTTAAAACTGCATTTGAAAAACACTATCAGGCATTTCTGTGCTTACCATCCAGGGCTGAGGTGGCCTGCAAACAGAAAAACCATGGACATTTTCCTGACTCAGTAAAAAACGATAGTTTTCAAACAATAGCCAAAGGAAATGTTATCTTCAAATGCTACAGATTTGTATTATATCCATGAACATGCCAAGGCAGCCTCTTCCAACTTCAGTCATTTGACATTTTACTAAGCTTTCAAAGGAACTGGGAAAGGGAGGAGAGGAATTTAGATTAATAAACATCTAAAAAAAAAAAAACAGTAGATGCTGTTCTTGGTAGAGCTGCTGTGGACACTAATGTGAGACAATAACTATAAAAATACAGAATTAGTAAGAGACAGATAACTAGAGACAGATCTGCTGGTGAAAATAGAAAGTGGAACAGAAAACTCCAGTCACAACTGGAACAAGGTAGGTAAGAGGTCTTTGGTGAGTTGTTAATAAATAGGAATTGGAGGCAGAAACTTGACAGGAGGGTACAATTACAAGCAAGAGTGGAGAAGAGTTAGGATCAACAGAAGCAAAAGAAAACAAAGCACACACTGGTCCTGGGGTGAATCCCAAGACTACAAAGGGAATCAGAAGAACAGCTGGAAGAGACCTGTCAATGGAAACTATAGTTCCTTTAGAGGAACTTCACAGCCTAGAGGAATTGGGGGCTTCCTGGGCATTATGGTCCTAGATCAAATCCCAGCGCCCACTTTCTCTCCTGCCTGCTCCACCAGCCTGACCGGGACACCAGCTCTCATGAGTGGTTGTCACTGAAGCATTCTCTTTGCCACAATCTGTGACTAAGAAGGGTACAGGCTTTTTATACAGGATGTGATTAGAGAACTACTTGTAAGGGGCACCAAGAGCATTATTAAATTGTCTACTGCCTCAGGGTTTGAATTCTCAGAGTTCCTCATTAAATAAATTGTTCTGTTTCTTTCTACTCTACAAGCAATTCAGTTCCCTTGGGATACAAAGAAGAGAGCACACAGGAAAAATTTCAGTCAATTTTGTTTTCATTTGGACCGATGTGAAAGTAATTTTTTTTTTATTCCAAGGAAAACCTCTTTTTTTAGCCCCTAAGTTTGATTTTAAAGCTATGAGATTTACTCTTAGGAATGTTTAATTTCTTCAAAGAACCAATCTCAGGACAGTCTCTCTCTCTGATCATGCCTCCTTAGATGAACATTTTGAGATGTTATGAATAGTATGATGTCCACAACATTTTGAAGGAAAATAAGTCCTTTATCTTCAATGTTTCCCAATTTTTTAATTATTCAAATGCATTTTTCATATTTTTAGTTAAAAGTGTATGTTCAACATGTGCAACATGTCTATGAGTATCATATACCGTGAAATGGTCAAAGAAGATGGTAATTGAGTCATGTGTGTTTATTTTGATCTCACTAGTTAACTTCTATGCTAGGAACCTCTTGTATGAAACCAGCGTGCTGGTTGCACAGTTGAATTGGCGCCCACAAGGAGGCTTTTAGTTTAACTAGATTGAGCATGCTATAAAGATAAAGGAATTGGTGATGATTTTGGGTAACAAAAGTACCTGGAGGTACTGAAGGAGTGAGACATTAAATTAATTAAAATGGGAAATTCAACTTCTACGGATAAGGAGATGTATTTGACTATTCTAGACACCATAATTAATCAGAAAGGAAAACAGATTAAAAAAAACAAAACTCAGTTATTACAATTCTTAAAGGTCATGGGTAAATGGTTTTGTGACCAAGAATCCCCAAATTTACATACTTGGGAGAAATTAGGGAGGAAATTACAAAAAAAAATTTGCCTTTCTAATGAATTACCTGGAGGCATAGAAAGTATTCAAAAAACTTGGATGGCCTTAGAAATTTGTCTTTTTGAATACAGGGGCCATAGTTCTTGGCCCCCTGAAGATCTATTGAAAGGCATTCAGAGAGCTATTAAGTCTATTCACATGGAAAATCCTCCTGAGGCTAAGTTAATTTCTTTTCCCTTGAGCTGTTTAAAAACTAAAGCTCTTGGGGCTAAACCGAAAGTTAGGAATGTTACTTTGAACTTGCAGGAAGGAAATCAGGGTAGCCTGCAGGAAGATTATAGAGAGGAAGGTCATAGAGATCAGGGTCATAGAGAGGAAACATCAGCAGTCATAGAGAGTCCTCCGGAAGAGATAGAGAATCCTCCCGGAGAGGAAAAACCAGAAGTAATTACTAGAGAGGCACAAAGCCCTTCTCCACCATGTGTCTTAGAAGCCTAATTTCAAAATGGCAACAGCAGAGATTCTTTCCACCAGTAGCAGTCTGAGGAAGAGAAATCAGACATTGAAATTCAGGACTTATGGAGAAATTTTAACAGACTGCGGTTAACACCGCCTGCCCAGGCTATTAGAATTCGGTCATTATCTGCTAAAAGGACAAAACTTAACAGGTACTCAGAATTAACAATGACTTTTCTTACCCTGTTCCAGCGAGGTATTAAGAAGGCGCAGGAGCCGGGAGAAGACATTAGCGGTTTTCAACTTTTCCAGTTTTTGAGCCGTTTAATGACCAAGACCGAAAAATTCGAGTTCATGCTGTAATTCCATTTAAGACTATTAAGGAATTGAAGAGTGCTTGTGAGACTTATGGTCTGAATACACCTTTTGTACAAAATTTGATTGATACCAAATCCTCACAACCACTTCCACCAAGTGATTGGATTTCGTTAGCCAGATCTTGTTTGAGTGGAGGAGATTTTTTACTTTGGCGATCTTATTGGGCTGATTTTTGTATTGAACAAGCAGAAAAGAATAGAAGACAGAATTACAGACCCCAGTAGAAATGTTTTTAGAAACGGGTGAATTTGCTGATTTGGAAATACAGTTAAATTATGAATTTGCAGTGTATGATCAGATAACTGACTGTTCTAAACGTGCCTGGAAACAAATAGTTTCCAAGGACCAGTCCAATTTAGTTCTTACCAGAGTCAAACAAGGTGCCAGTGAGCCATATTTGGATTTTGTAGCCTGATTGTATCAGACAGCAAATAGGTCGATCGGAGACCAAGGAGCTTGCGAGTTTATTGTTAAGCAATTGGCATTTGAAAATGCGAATAAATATTGTCAGGATTTTCTCAGA